AATCGAGCTTTGCAATGGTCAATCAAATCCAATCAAAACTTTCTCTGCTAACCAAATCATCGAAGCAACCAACAATTTCAGTGAGACCAATCACATGATTCGATTCGAGTTTATGTACAAAGGTATGCTCGAAAACCGTCCTGTTCTAATCAAAAGAGCCATATGGAAACTATACACATCTGATACATTACAAAAGCTTTGTCGTGACATAACGGTCTCATCGATGGTTAGTGGTCACAAGAACTTCCTCAAGTTGTTAGGTTGTTGTCTTGAATTTGAACATCCGGTCTTGGTCTGTGAGTATGCAGAACGTATACCTTACTATACTCTGAATCAAGAAACGTTTGTACCGTTGAGAATGCGGATTAAGATAGCGAAAGAGATCGCGATCGCGGTTTCTTACCTACACAACGCGTTTTCAAGAAGTATGATTCATATGGATATAAACCCTTCAAACATTTTCTTGGACTCAAATGGAAAAGCAAAGCTAAGTGGGTTTTATCTCTCTGTTTCGATACCGGAAGGAGAGACATTTGTTAAGGTTGATGCTGATAGAGTAGAAGGAACAGTAGATTACCTCGAGTATAAGTATGTAACAACCGGATTGATTACCGAGTATACCGATGTTTTTAGCTTTGGTGTGTTGTTGCAAAATCTTTTTACGAGAAAGTATGGAGCTGTTGATTGTTGTATTGTTGATGAGAGTCTATTTGAAGAGTTTGAAGACAAACAAAATGTGATGAATCTTAGGATTTCTGATAGAGTGTCCAAATTTGTGGAAGAAGGGAGAATCTTTGAGATCTTGGATCCAAAAATGTTGGAAAGTATTGGTGATGATGAAACCGAAGAACACGAGATACGGCGAATTGAAGCAGTACTTGTACTCTCACTTAGATGCACTGGTCATAGAGGTGATGTTCCAAAGATGACTGAAGTTGCCAAGGAACTAAAAAGGATTGAGAGACGGACAACATAGAAGAGATCTTGTATACTTTATTAGGTTAAATTTGTAATAATAAAAGTATGTAGATCAAATTGAAACCATCTATTTGTGGGGTGTAGAGTTGAATTATAAATGTTGTGGGTCAATTTTTAATATTTGAATACCTGAGGATCAAAATTGAAATATCTTCTCAAGAAGAAGAACAAAATCAAGTTTTCTCCTTGACAGAGTAAAAATCACGACTTTAGATTCATACTTCTCTCTCTCTCGCTTTCTTCTACAATCAT